TTATTGACTTTTTACAGAGAGGAAGGGAGAGGAATAGAGAGCTAGAAACATCGATGAGAGAGAAACATTGATCAGCTGCCTCCCACTCATCCCCCACTGGGGAAGTGCCCGCAACCCAGGCACATGCCCTTGACTGGAATCGAACCCGGGACCCTTAAGTCCGTAGGCTGATGCTCTATCCAGTTTTGGCTGCTGGAAGATTTTTATGACTGCTTCAGTTTCTTCCATAGTTATTGGCCTGTTGAGATTTTTAGATTCTTCCTGATTGAGTTTTGGAATGTTGTATTTTTCTAGGCATATGCCCATTTCCCCAAGGTTGTCTAATTTGTTGGAGTAGAGTTGTCCATAGTATTGTTTAACAATCATATGTATTTCTGTGGGATCTGTTGTTATTTCGCTTCTATCATTTCTGATTTTGTTTATTTGGGTCCTCTGTCTTTGCTTCTTGGTGAGCCTGGCTAGAGGTTCATCGATCTTGTTTATCCTTTCAAAGAACCAGCTCTTGGTTTCATTGATTTTCTTTATTGTTTTTTTGGTCTCTATGTCATTTATTTCTGCTCTAATCTTTATTATCTCCTTCCTTCTGCTCACTCTGGGCTTTTCGTGTTGCTCTCTTTCTAATTCTTTGAGTTGTAGAGTTCGATGATTTACTATTATTTTTGCTTTCCTTTTTTTGAGATAGGCCTGTAGAGCTATAAACTTCCCTCTCAGGACTGCTTTCATTGTGTCCCAAAGGTTTTGGATTGTTGTGTTTTCATTGTCATTAGTTTCCAGGATGTTTTTCACTTATTCTTTGATCTTATTGGTAACCCAATCAATATTTAATAACATGCTATTCAGCTTCCAAGTGTTTGAGTATTTTGAGTTGTTTTTATTGTACTTTATTTCTAATATTATGCCATTGTGGTCTGAGAAGATGCTTGGTATGATTTCAATCTTCTTGAATTTAGGCAGACTTTGTTTGTGACCCAATATGTGGTCTATTTTTGAATATGTCTCATGAGCCCTTGAGAAGAATGTATATTCCGTGGCTTTGGGGTGAAGTGTTCTGAAAATGTCGATTAAGGCCATGTGATATAGTGAGTCAATTTGGATTGCTGTTTCTCTGCTGATTGTTTGTCTGTAGGATTTATCTAGTGATCTCAGTGGTGTATTAAATTCCCCTACTATGATTGTATTGTTGTTGATCTCTCCTTTGATATCTTCCAGTAGTTTTTTTATGTGTTGGGTGCAAAAATGTTTACCCAGGGTTCTATCTTGTTGTATTTATCCCTTTAGTATTATGAAGTGGCCTTCCTTATCTCTTGTTATGGCCTTCACTTTGAGGTCTATTTTGTCCGATATAAGTCTTGCTACCCCAGCTTTCTTTTCATTTCTATTTGCCTGAAAGATATTTTTCCATCCTTTCACTTTCAGTCTGTGTGAGTTACTTCTAATGAGATGGGTCTCTCTAGACAGCAAATGTATGGGTCATGATTTTTTATCCATTCAGCCACTCAATGTGTTTTGGTAGGAGCATTTAGCCCATTTACATTTAATATTATTA